ATGATAGTACAGTACAGGAACAGCTCGGCAAGGAAGCAAGGCTGGGCCGATGGGTCCCACATGAACAGTTCGCTCACAAGGAAAGGATACTTGGTCGCAGAGGTCATTCAGGATGAGATGTATACCCGCGTAGATGTTTCAAACGCTAATCTCAAATCTGTGTTCCGAATCTGCTAAACGATTCTGGGAACAAAGTTAAGGGACCGGTGCCTCCTCTAGCTTATACCAGAGTGACGAATGGATCACCGAGCCGAAGCAAAGCTGTAATTGTGCAACAGTGACTGATAGGAGGGTAGACTGGCAGGCGTGATATCAAGGTTCGAGCCCTTGTGCATATGCTCGTTTTGCTTTTCCATGCAATGCAACCTAAACGCTTGCAAAACGTTTTTGGGCTTAATATTGGGCATCAACGGAGCTCCCTCTCAATTTAGGATTCCGGGGAAAAGCAATTAGAAGAAAAAAACCGTACCACTACTGACTGTATATACATGTACGCCTCCCTACTCCACCCCGAACAGTCAAGATAGTGTTTCGAAGTCTTCGGCAGCTCCCTGCACCACTTACGGTAGACGGCGGTCGAATGACTCATCCGACCACAGCCCTCTCTGAGAGGGTTACGGCCCACACATTCTAGAAGTGCTGTCCGCGAGTTCGAAGCGATGGAACAAGTTAAATGGCATTGTTGAAGAAATACTGAAGAGCNTCCCTACTCCACCCCGAACAGTCAAGATAGTGTTTCGAAGTCTTCGGCAGCTCCCTGCACCACTTACGGTAGACGGCGGTCGAATGACTCATCCGACCACAGCCCTCTCTGGGAGAGTTACGATCCACATTAGTAATATTGTTCACGCTTTCGAAGCGGTGGTACAAGTTAACTGGCACTGTTGGAGAAATACTGAAGAACAATAGTCTATTGCTTTGTGGTCATATATGATTATCCACTAATTCTGTTCTTGAGATGAACGCCCCTTCAAGGGGCCCTTTCATGAGGCAAACTTGATGGTGCGGTGAGGCATGATACCACCGCTGTACTCAAAAAACTGAATCCACCGACGACTTGCTTTGAAGTTGTTACCTATGGTCCTCCATTGTTGATTTGAAGCGGTATCCTGTGGAAATGACTGTCGTGTAATGGGATTTAACCATCCAACTTATCCGCTAATCTCCATAGGTGAGCAGATCGGTCCGCCTGCTTTGCATCTGATAGTTGCGACCACATAAGATATCATAAGCGACAATAATAGTCTCTACCAGCACCATAAAACTGGAGCGCATGGGCTAGAACACAAACTTGAAGGTTACGTTCCTTTTCGGAACCTCTATATCCCTCTGAACGTACGAGACTTCTTTCGTGGAGTTACGGGTCCATGGTCGCTGTCATCAGCAGGCGACCGCACAGGATCATTGTGATTGCCTTTCACGGACTCGACTTCCTCACAAAAGATAACGGGCCTGTTTTGACAGCATCGAGAATTACGGTTCGAAATCTCTTTATTGCCGCCTCTTCCTAGGAGGGAGGTGCCCACGTTATGCTGCAAGAACGAAAGTCCTCAACCAAGTATGATGACACCACCTTCGGTCAGAAGATTCGCTGGCACCATGTAGAAGAGCGTCTGACCCGATGAATCATTTGGAACGCTTTCTTCCTTAAAGCCTCTTGAGCCCATTTTGAACGAATATTTAGAATTCCTCTTTTGTTTGAATGTAGCTCCACCCTGGTTCGGTCTGTGAGGGGCAAAAAAACTTTCCTCGTAATACCTTTTCAGTGATCCCAAAATAAGAGGGAGCTCCGATGCCCAGATGCCCAATATTAAGTCCAAAAACGTTTTGCAAGCGTTTAGGACGCATTTCCTGGAAAAGAAAAACGAGCACGTGCATCAAGGAATCGAACCGTGATGTCCTGCCTACCAGTCCACCGTCCTATCAGCTGTGCCCCCGTTGCACAGTTACGGCTTTGTTCGGCTCGGTGATCCGTTCGTTACTGTGGTATAACAGGGAGGCATCGGTCCCATAACTTTGTTCCCAGAATCGTTTAGCAGATTCGGAACACAGATTTTACATCAGCGTTTGAAACATCTACACGGGTACACATCTCATCTTGAATGGCTACTGCGACCAAGTATCCTTCCCTTGTTGGACCTCTCGAGGAGGGTGGCCACCTGCACTTCTGTCCTCACTTTCCAAAAGAAGCTCCATTTTCTCAACTCGTTGATCGCTGTAGATGGGAAGTGGTCCTCTACGGTAACCCCGTAGGGAAGTGGCAGTGGGTCGATAAATGAGAACAGCCCGAAGCCACCTCAATGGCGGATCTTTTCCCCAAGAAGGTTCTGTTGTCCAGTGGGTGGTAAGAGGCATGGGGCACTGGAAGCTGCTGGAGAGGGACAGACGATTAGCGCTTCCACATACGTTACCCAGCTGCGGGAATTGAGATCCCGTCGACCGGACTTGTGGATCGGACGCAGAAATCTACTTCCACCATGACAACGTCCGACCTCACACCGTAAAGGCCGCCAAGACCGAGGTGGAGAAGTATGGATGGCTGATTGTCGCCTAGCCCCTCTACAGCCCCGACCTCGCTACCTCCGACTACTGGCTGTTCAGCCACCTGCAGACCTCTCTGGACGGAGAAAAGTTCGAAACAGAGCCTCCCCTCATCCTTCTGGGAGGAAGAATCGACAAGCTGGCTGAGAATTGGCGACGAGTAGTGGATGGTGATGGGCATACCTCTAATCTTCACGTTGGTTCGCTATTGAGATGCTTACAGAAAAGTCGTGGAAAAAGTGATGCATCAACCCACAGGGTGCGCCAAAATTACGTGCTCAAATATCCACCGCTGTAAAATCGGTTAAACGATAGATTGAGGACTAACTTTTCTACAGCACTTTATTTATATTGAGCCATTACACATACTCAATTCCAATCTCGAAACTCCCTCCACAGGCTCGGGCACGGCCCTCAGACGTAAGGGGAAGGCGTCCACTGTGGCGCGAAGGTACTCCAAAGGTATTTCTTCCCATGCTCTGAGCAGGTCCCTCTTCAATGAATCAATTGAGTGGTGTTGCTTAGAGCAGGCCTTCCTCTCCAATAGCGACCAGACGGAATAATCCATTGGATTCAGATCAAGCCTATTAGAGGACCATTCCCGAGCGTTGATAAATCCTGGGAGGGTGTTTCGGCACCACCCTCGCTCTATGAGCCGGTGCTGAATCTTGCTGGAACACGAACGGTCTACAGCGGGAGTGCGTAAACAGCTTCTCATCGGAGAAGACCAGTGGTGGCGTCGGTGGCGCGCCGACGCGCACCGTTGGAGGAGCATCTTGCATTTCTGGATCCAGTTTTTCTTCATGGATGCAGTGAGAAAGTGCACCTTTCGCCATCGATGAGGTGTCAATCCCAGCTTCTCTTTAAACTAAACGGCGGGCGAAATTATGAACTATTCGGGGCTTTTTGGCAATCTTTCTCATGGACCTCTTCGGATTGCGTCGCACAATATCCCGTACAACTTTAACATTTCTAATGAATACTGCAGTTGTTTTTCTTCCCGTTCCTGGGTGATCTTCGGTAGTATCGAGCTCCTCGTATCGTTTGATGGTGAAGTCCACAGTTCTTCTGCTGTCTGATAGAACTTTTGCGATGGTTTTGGAACAGCGACCCATCTGGTGTAACTGAATGATAGCGGGTCTGAGAGGATGAGGTCTAACCATTTCTGAAGGAGTAAGAGCTGAGGATCGAAGGTTGTGCTGATGATCAAGGAAGAAGTGCTTAACATGTTCGCGGCTAATCAAGAGATCATCGCTGAATTAAATCAATAGGTCGAACTCTGCAACTTTGAGCAAGTAATTTTGGCGCACCCTGTAATACATCATTTGCGACGAGACTTGTGCAACCGCCAATAATCTGGGATTCTCAACTAATAATACATCCCTAGAAGAAAGAAGTTCTTGACAACATGTGTGGGTACCATTCAAGGTTTTGGTTGCTCAACACTTGAATGATTAATGGCTAATCATTTTTAAGATGAAGAGAAATAGAACGAGTTTTTGGATCACTGGTATAAGCATCGGCACTTACTGAGTACCACTTGCCCTGCCCTATTAATGCTGTGTCAAATTTCATGTACAGAAAATCGTCATTCGTACCAAATAAGAAGTAGCCGGTTAACATATTACAACAGCTCCTCATAAGAAGGAGGAAAGCGACTTGTGAAAATGATGTCAATGAGCGACAAGAGGCAAGCTAACATGCGCACTTTTGTTGCTGCACGACAATGCCACCATCCACATTTTCGAGCCTTCAATTGTCCCAATCCCAGCTAATTCATGAAAAAAGCAGCACGCGTAGAAACCAGTATGAACGCAACGAAAATATTGCGCATTCTTTAACAATATCTAGTTTTCAACTATCTCAAAAAAGCGCAAAATTTCCATCAATGTGAAAGAAATAGGCAGCCGAATCTTCCTCAAACCGTCACCATGTAATTATTATGTTATGACTACACATGTACAAAAAACCAAAATTGACGTCTCTTCCAAGATGGTCGTCCGCATAGAACTTCCAAAGAATGCACATGGTACAAATTCTTTCTGGAATGTTCTGGGAGTTTCCATAAAACTGCTCCATGGAAAATTACCGACTTGTACGCGCATTATGTAGCCCCACAATGGCCAAGCCGTTTCCATATTTGACAGGTACTTCTTTGCGGTTCGAATACTTCACTGAAGTCCATCGAAACTTGGTCAGGCTTATAAGTCCGTTCAAAGCGGTTTTGAATGCGACTCGTTTCAATGCTTCGAAGAAAGCAACAAGAGGGACGAAGATAAGGCTCGATTTGATCAAACGACTGCGGTATCAAGTTCTTCGACTCTGGATATGTTGGGCGCATACAAGTGAGCAGCGTACCTCTACAGTATTTCTATGAAAAGCTCCGAAAATCGCAAAAAAAGGAGGTTGCGAAATCTTCGGCAGTCACTCCTTAAACAGCCTAATTCATTCAGCAAAACTTACTCCATATGTGGTACGACCACTCTATTCAACCATGCAGTTTCGTCGTGTGCACTCGATGCCAGCTCTATCGTTGTAGATGATACGTTAATCATCTGTCTGTAATGAACACGACGTCGCAACAAATCTGGCACGACGAAAGAAGAAGAGCTATCATCAACGATGCCATCACAGAATCTCTTCGATCGTGCCACTAAAAAATCATAATGGTTGAACCTACGTATCGAACGTAAAGTAACGTACATATGTAACTAGAACAACCACTTACGATTGCTCCTCGCATGTACGAGATTGAGTGGTGTGGCAACAGTTGCTAAATACGGTGAAGGAATAGTTGCAGCAGTTCGGGATAAGATATGAGAAGAATCAGTAACAGTATGCGGACAATGCAAACGATAGCGATGCCACCTTTCACTAACAAAAATAATAGCGAGGCTCAGTAATAACAGGGGTATGAGAATAAAATGTATAGGAACATTAGGTGCAATCATCTGGCAGGCAATAAATATAACCATGTCAGCAGCACCAGCAAGAGTCACTCTTCGCGCAAACGATCGCACACGTAGCCACGCTCCACGGGCGGTATAATGAGCAGCTCGAACCATCCGTTTTGTTCGAAGCGACAGATATGATAGGCGTTGGCAAGGTATACATAGGACCTCTGTCCACCTTTTGTTTCCAATTATTTCTTCCTCGATATAATCCAGCGCATCCTATCAACAGTCATTCAGAGTAGAGACTATTTCATGTACTTCACATTAATTCGAATAAACTCTCAGACACAAGACACAAGTCCGAAAGCGTTGTTAAAATCGAACCTGTATGCTGTAAAGCATTGGAACATCGTGAGCATCCAATATTCTATCGAGAAGTAAGCATGTTCTATTTCTGTCTGGCAAATCAAATGGGTGAGCTCTTTGCTTCCATTCTGTTTTTCCCAGAAACACAACAACTAATTTCGGTGATTTCCTAGCAGCGAAGTAAGCTATTTCAAGAAAAGATGTAGCGTTGACAGTTGCAGGATCTATGACAAACAGGAACAGGGATGATCTCTGAACATCTGCTTTTCTACTCACATAAGTAATTTGTGACATTCGTAGGTAAAACAAAACTAGCCTCCTTAGCTATACTCTCTTCATAAATCATGTTTTCACTCCAGACGCTCCTTTGAGGATCGTAATATGATATCGCTTTCTTTTTCAAAAATGGAATAACAAGTTGACGGCGCCATACCTTCAACCGATAAGAAAACGTGTCAAATTCGAACACCTACAGTACCCGAAGTAAAAAGTTCCATACCGTAGTTCCGCAAGAACCACCTAAGAAAACGTCGTATTCAGGGAGACACGGCAGCTGTGATTCCTCTGCTAGCATTGCGCTGGCAATCCTAGGGCATTCGATGTGCATGGTCCTGAGGTAGTGTTCATTTGAAAAAAAAAGGTATGACAATCAAAAAGTCTTGCAAACTCTCATGGGCTATCGCATAGAACAAATTAACAGAGCTGTGAGACGTACAGGTTAGCGTCATTATGCCAACATTTGTTCGGAGACATTTCACACAACTTTCCAACCCTTGCAAGAGTTCTCAATTGAGACACTGCGATTAAAAAACAGCATGCCAATTTTTCTCAATATGCTAATCCAGGATTCACACCACAAACTTGGAAAAGGGCTCTGTGAAAACGATGACACAAAAATTCGCGCGCCTCTCTTCGATGAGAAAATTCTTCACAACGACACACTTCAAGGGGGTAGATTGGCGGACCCTATACCAGATTTTCATAGCTGATGGAATATAAAACTGCAAACAAGCAGAATTCATCAGAAAAAGTATAAAATTAAAATAAGCAAGTTAGGACAGCTATGCAAGGACTTCAACAATTGATGCGGCAAGTCACAACTTTATGCGAACAAATTGAACAACTATTTTGTAGAGATCTAGTAGTTTCCGATTCTTAAGCTGACCAGAAGTTTGGAGCTTCTGCGAATTAGTTCAATTACTCTAGACAACTGCTACTCACATGGTTAACATGGTAATAGGCTTCCTTCGCTTCAAACCTCTCCATTTTCCACCAAATTTTTTGTTTGAGAGTTTACCACCAGAAAAATCTATGCGGCTTACGACAAAGACAGTCAGCTAGAAGTCCAATCAGCTTTGAAGCAGTCGATATAGAAAATGAAAGAAAGGGCCACAACATAGGGTTTATCAATTAATATTTAGGGCACAGTTCACGATAGTTTTAGGTAACCCAGATTATGACGAAATATGTAAGATAAGATGGAAAATAGTGCAATGGAGGCAAGCGAACTGCGTGGATCGGTGTTTTCAAAGTGAAAAAGGCTTCGAAAAGCCTTTAAAAAGGGGGCTGGACGAGAATGAGACCAGATGAATGAAGAAGAGTGGGGTGTCTGTACCAGCTGCGCAGCGCGTCATTGCGTACGTGTGGGTCCTGTTGCAAATATCCGACTACGGTAAGCGAAAATTCATCCGCTTATAAGCATAAGCAAACAAAAAACCCTATCAACAGCACAAATAGCTCACCTTTTTATACCTGGGGTAGGAAATTGAAAAAGGGATTGCGTCAGCAAAAAGAATAACAGAGGAAAAAAGAATGGGAGAAAAACATCGCCTCATCACTCGGCGTTCAGCTGATTGTGTGCGGATCCCAGAACGAATACTCGCAATCTGTATTGATTCGATACTCGTCTGACGTGAAAGCGATCTGAGACGGGAAAGCGACTCAAGACAGCAACAGGGCTTCCATTATGCCCTGACCGTCGAGATTTTGAGAGCGAGAGGGACTCTTCTACCACCCATGGGGGCCACTGAGTATTATTAAGAACTCAGCAACCATTTTTACCGTGAACTGTGCCTTTAACAAATGTTCTTTATTTCCTGTAGGAGGGGGTGATACAGACACGTTGAAGATACAGATACGTTGAAAATGTTTAATCGAGTAAATGCGTCTCAGTCAAAGCCCTTTGAGTTCTTGTGAGTTCAAAATTGAAATTTGCCACACACATCTGAAAAAGCGTTCGGTGTAGTCTGTTTTTTCGAAATTTCCTGAGCAAAGAGTCAAAAGCGTCACCTGCATTTCAAAGCTTTCGCTCTTCCTCATCCTGAGCGCTGCTCCTCTGTATGGAATCTAGTCCCCAAAAAGTATATATCGAAACCGAAGAAAGTGCAATGGACTTTTGCAATATCACCCTAGTACCAATTAGATTAAGCTGCCAATGTACGCGGAAATATTGAAAAGGCTCGGACTATCACAGCTAACCCATAGGCGAATCGGACCCTAGCAATTCGTATCCTCAAGAAAGAAACTGAATAATATCAAGCAACTACTGGGTGCTCAGCCCAAGCAGTGGTAAAACAAGTGGTTTTGACCTATCAATGCCAAAATTTTGGGTAAACACCATGCTTTACTGTTCAACAACTTTTACCACACTGCGAGGTGGTTGCCGCTTGTTGCCAGGTTGCCTGCCGACTGAGTTACTCCGATTACTAAGCGGTAAGGAATTCAAAGGAAAACTAAGGAAAATTTACCTTGGAATTATTGAATCCTAACATTTGATTCGATTCAAGCAAAACCAGCCTCATCTTCGAATTTTGTATTTTCAGAATTGTCCTCCACCAATCTTTAAGGCTATCAAGGAACTTACATCCGTTTCGCGCATACACTTCCAGGGTGAAGAGAGAAGCCCATTTCTTCCCACTTTTCAAATCAATCGCAAAATTTTCAAGCATTGGCGGATGTTATTCACGACGTACTGGTGTTCTTGATCTGAGTATGACTAAATAGATTTTCTTTTTCAAATGGTGTCACTCGATCTTCCGCCTACCCATCTTTCCCTCCTGTCCGTAAAGTAGCCAGCTAGTCACGCAAGGATCACAGAGTTCATTTAATTGGCTTATCCGAGAAACCCCTTCGTTAGCCTGAAGTCTAGGTTGACAGCCATGCTATGAAGATAGCATGCTTTTTTATTTTGGGAAGCACTCTCAATAAATGTGATGCCTTTTCAGAATTACTTCGTTGTACTATAGGGAGAGGCCCCCATCATTCTTGTCTGATAATAAAGACAGGAGCGCACCTTGGCAAGCGACATTCTGTGATGGGAGTTCATTTGATTCTGATTTTAATTTTAAGTGGACATCTCTGTACGTTTATGCTTGCATTCTGAGTATTTTCAGTCTCATTTATTTGATTGAGACTCCTGTCCTCTAAGTCAGGCATACCTCTGAGTGTATGGAATAAATAAATAAATAAAACTAATTTGGCCCATAGACTGATCTCAGTGGCTATAGATAACTGGTACATTTTGCGTACCTGGTGAAATAAGCTTCCTTTGCTTCGGACGTGCTTTTACTTCTCCATTCTGTTTCTTTCAAACAAGCCACGGCATTTCGAGATATTCTTTCATTCTCTCCACTAAATTAAAGTGGGAATCACTCCTGACCAAAAAAATTCCGTTATAACGTGCACAAGTAAAAGCGGAAAGCATGAAATCCTAGTTACAAAAACTGTTAACACTGCATTCTAGAAAATAAACTGGAAGGTTTAAGTATCATTTGTATTACAGCATATGCCCCGCCGTTTCACAAAAGCCTTCTACCTCAGCCTCTCCCTAACTCATCCACTCAGTGAGAAATTGCGACACTGTGCTGCATTATCAGAAGAGATTCTGCACAATATGTAATTATGACCAGTACGATAAGTTGCTTGCAGACCACCACCCTTCCACATGTCACCCTCAACGACCACGGCAGAAGGTTAACTGGATAGCACGCGATTTAGTGAGTAAGCACGAATTAGTTATCTAGAGTTGAGCACGAATGCTCTCGTCTATTCACTCAAGTTTCATCGTCGGAGTGTATGCCAACAATTCTCATGTTCAGCGATTGTAAGGTCCTTATTACGTGCAGACATCGAGAATTGTCAAAACCGAACAATCACCACTCCCTGCCTAAACCACTCGTCTGACTAGTAGACCCTTCGTCGCGATTTCGGTCTCTATAATATCGTACTCACAAAAACAGAAACCTGACAAGGCAGTTTCACATAAACTTTTCGACATACACTGCTTTACTTCCTGCTTTTGAAGATGCTATACATCTACGTCACCTTTTCCGCCGAAGGTCATGATCATGGATCCCACCACTGCTTGGGTTATTATTGCATGCCATCTGACCAACCACTTTTTCGCGGGAAACTCTGCTCTCACTTTTGAAAAAAAGGAGAAAAAAGAATGCAGAAATACTGTCCAAAACATGACAAATTCTGAAATGTTTATGAAGGTAAGGCGTGTGACCCAATCACCACATTCGTGTCTAGCGCAGTTTAGAGACTGGGTACAATGGGCAAAGTGGAAGTGTAAAAGTGTGCCTGGAGATAACACGGAGATGGCTCCTCTTGTTCAGAAAACGTTCCCGTTCACATGTGGCGGAAAGGCTCCAGATGGGCCACCTTTGTCGAAGAAATCTCTAGAAATTTCAAACGAACCTAAAGACTGCAAAAATAGTATGAGAAGAATAGCAGTTCAGGTGAACAACAGTCACTAAATGAAGGCTGCGCTATGATGGCTGAAGAATACACTTCCGACATTACTAGCATGCACAGAAACCTACAATGCTAAGTGCACGTCTCCATTATCGCATGACCCTTCACAGTTTGCATTAAAAAAGACGACCCGTCGATAGGGTTGAGGGAGATGTCGAATGTTGTGTTAAAACATTTATATTACACAATTACGGGATACTCCCTTGGCAAGTGCGGTGACCAGCCTATAAGCTTCTGAAAGTGGATTAACCCGCAAGTCGGTTGGTTTGTGAAATTTCCGGGTGAAAATTATCCAAGTAAAGTGAAATATATAGGGCGCAGGCATCCGTCCGTCGCCAAATTCGATTTTACTTCAATAAGCGCCTGCAGAAGTCGGGTCTAGTTTGGAATAGGATAAAGGCAACAGAACACACGTCAGCCAAGCGGAGCCCCACCCTCAGAGAGCGGAACATGCGCGGGAGTTGGGGGTGCCGTGGGCAGAACTTCTTAATTTGATCTAATGACAGTCCAGACGTGAGGAAAAAATGAGGGGTGATTCTCAAATGAATCGAACGAGACTCACCGGCGATGGATGAAGCGTTCCCGCTTTTGGCGGTACTTTTCACTTGAGTTCATAACTCGATTCAATCAATGAAGGCGAGGAGACCAGGAAAAAAAATTAAAGCAGTGAGCAAGGCCTCATGCAAGGCATGCGTAAACTTAGCGAGGCTCTGTCCAAAATGGACGGAGCGCATGTTAAAATGAAGCTACTTCTCAAAAGTAGTTATTACTCTGTTCAGACACGTTTCAAAATGTGGGAGAAAAAGTAGAGGTAACAGAATAGCTGCGGTCAAAGCCCCGAGCGGGCAAAATTTGTTCTACGGTGGGCAGGGCTAAGATCGAAGATTCATAACTCCGTCCAATAATGAGAATGTTCTAGGTGAGGGAATTCTAGAAAGCGCGGAAAACTGGTTATCCTTACTATATATAACCCGCAAGTATGTATACTAGTAGTATATATGCATATATGTATGTATGTATATAGATATGTATATTGTATGTATATATGTATATGCGTATATACATATGTAATATATTATACGTGTATATGAATATATGTATATATGTAATATATTGAATGTGTATATGTATATATGTATACATGTATATATGTGTATATGTATAAATGTATATTGGCATACATGCATATATGTATATGCATATGTATATATGTATATCATTTGAGCTATGCACGCTAACGCGAGCATTATATGTCCACAGTGGCCCATGGAGTCATTCAGCGGAATGTTGGATTATCAGAATAAGATAGTTCTCTCTAGAAATGAACGTTGAACCGCTTTGAAGATATTCCACTCGTTAATTTCATTTGAGCAGAATTAATAGTGGTTCATCATAGCCCCGTCCACTTCAGTGCAAACCCCTCCAACTATGGAAATTTGACTACCCTCTTTGAAGGCACGGTTCACGATAAAAAATGGTTACTGAGTTCTTCCCTTGAAATATTACTCAGAGGCCCCTATGGGTAGTAGAAATGACCCTCTCGCTCCCAAAATCTCGACGGTCAGGGCATAGTGGAAGCCCTGTTCCTGGCTTGAGTAGTTTTCTGCCTCTCGATCGATGTCACGTCAGATGAATGTCGAGGCAATACAGATTGTTATAATTCGTTATAGGACCCACGCACAGTCAGCTGATCGCCGAGAGATGAGACGATGTTTTTCTCCCATTCTTTTTTCTTCTGTTATTCTTTTTGCTGCCGTGATCTCTTTTTTAATTTCCTACCCCACGAGGCTGAGAAAGGTGAGCTATTTGTGCTGTTGCTAGGGTTTTTTGTTTACTTATGCTTATAAGTCAATGGATTTTTGCTTACCGTAATCTATTCTTTGCACCAGGACCCACACGTACGCAATGACGCACTGTGCGTAGCTCGTCCAAACGCCCCACTCTTCTTCATTCATCTGGTCTCATTCTCGTCCAGCCCCCTTTTTAAAGATTTTTGAAGCCTTTTTTCACTTTGGAAACACCGATCCACGCAGTTCCCTTGCCTCCATTGCACTATTTTCCATCTTATCTTCCATTTTTCGTCATAATCTGGGTTACCCAAAATTATCGTGAACTGTGCCTTCAACTGCCCCTTAACATTTTCTTCGTATTCAAGAACATTTCTGAACAGAGTTACGAACTTATCTTAGCCCCGCCCACTTCAGTGCAAGCCCTGCCCACTTGAGGGATTTAACCACATTCCTTCCATTACCTTTAACCACTCTTTTACCGCGTTTTAGAACGTTTCAGAACAAGTCATGAATTTTTGATCTTAGCTCCGCCCACTTCAGCGCGAACCCTGCCCAATTCAAAGATTTGGCCACACCTCTACTGACTCTAACCACCTTTTCCCGCATTCTAGAACAATCATGAAGAGAGATAAGAATTTTCGATCTTAACCCCGCCCACCTTAGAGCAAACCACGTCAACTTCAGGAATTTGGCCACAATCCTTCTATACATTCTAAGCACTTTCCAAGTTATAGAACATTTTTGAGCAGAGTTATGAATTTTTTCAAAAAGGACCTAACATTTGAATGCACGCCTCGCCCACTGTGAATGCACGCCCCGCAATCCAAGCACGCATAAAACCTTGTTCACTTCTTTTTTGTGGCTCCACGCTTCCGCTGAATCAAGTTATGATCTTACTAGGCAAGCACTGCCCACAGCTAATGAGTCTCCTTCAGTTCACTTGTTGGCCCACCCCTCACCTTCGCGCATTCATTCCCGGCGTCTGGGCTGCTATGAAACCTAATCGAACATTTTGCCCAGGACCTCGCCCCCTGTCGTGCATGCCCCACCTCTGTAAGCGGAGCTCCAATGAGCTCACATGTTCTGTTGGTCATGCCCTATGCCCAACCCATCCCAAACTTGACCGGACTTCTGCAGGTGCTTTATCAGGTAATATCGAATTTCCGTACAAACAAACAAACAGACAGACGGACAGACGCGAGCGCTTTATATACATACCAGTCGGATCGCCCGGCTTACGCCGGGCTCTCCTACTTTTCGTGTGAAGTTGGCCTGCCGCCCACGTCTTTCTCAAATTCAGACGCTCCGCCACAAAAGGAAAGGAATTCTAAATTTTCGGTAAGACACATACACTCACTTGGTGAAAGCCTTGCCTGTCATGAGCGGATTCCTGCTCAACTCATGTGCATTGAAGTAGCCTGGTTCATTCCACTCCATCTTCAGTCGTCTCACCTGCCATCATCACTCCCGAATGCCGTTTGTACCCCTATCAAACTTCCAAATTGGACCAAATGCTCTCCTGGCCCAAATTAACAACTCCACGCACGCCCCACTCCTGAGAGTGGATTCAAGTCGCACCCCCTACCGGCAGCATTCCCATGCTGCCGCCTGCACCCGTATCGAATTCAACGATCTAGGCCCCAGTTCGTTATTTATGCAACCTCTGTAGGTAGAGTCTAGTTACCACTTACCTTCAGTGTTTCTATTCTGCCACCTGTACTCCTAATGAACTTCAACGCTCTTGGTCCACGAGGACAGGAGTTATGAGTCTAGAAGAAACACACACACCAACGCGCAAACCGACATACATAGGCCTTTCATCACTCCTTACCTTTTCTTCTCGAAAAAAAAAAATGAGTAGTGAGTAGCAGCCACATATCGTGCAGTAAAAATCGAAACCGGTCAGAATCGGTTGTCGATGGCTATACACTACATTTTCAGCTACATTCCCTCCATATGTATTCATCTTCCTTACAGTTGGAACACTGTACCGCTAAAGGAAACAAAATGGCCACTTATCGTTACACAACGGATAGGTGAAGCAAATCGGTATATTGGCTAACATCTCTTGAATGTCAGTCTTATCGCACCTAAAACCTTCTGAACAAGATCGCCGGCTTCAGATTCCTCATGCATTCCCCTCTGGCTTTGCCATATACAATCAGGGTTCCCTTTCTCCCCTGTACCCCTACCAAATTTGAACGCCTTAGGTACAAGGGAATAGGAATTACGTAATTCCGTTGAAACCACTCTTATCGCACTTCAGCCTTCTAAGGAGGAGCCTAGATCAGATCATGAGTTCCCAAGTAACTCGACTCATTCTCACTTTTTTCATCCTGGCTAATCTGTTCCACTTCTATATCAGGAAGGCACCATATAAGGTGGAGATAAATAGATCAAGAGACAAACATACCAACAGCCATATGGACGTTTGTGGTTTACAAAGGTTGGCGATTTATGGACAAAACTTCAGTATCGGACGGGACTCGATCCCGTACATGTCCTTACCGGGGACCGTGTTCTTACCCCTAACACTACCGAGACCCCGCTTGCCCTCGCCTTCCTAATGGCTTATACGCCATAGCTTATCAGCACTCACACGTACAATGTGTTGAGCCGGTCGGCCAATATCAGAACTAAACCGTTAAGCTGAAAGCTTTACATGATATAAACTGTTTTCAGGTATATTAGGTCATCTCATTCAAAAGTCGCAAGCTTTTATTCGAATAAAATGAACAGCAAACAAGATCAAAAGCTAATATTCTAGTGTTCTGTCAGGTAGGCTCCATCATTGTTGACGACCCTCTCCCAGCGTCCAGGTAGCACATGGACACCAAGTAGCTTCTTTCCTTCAACATGTGCAGATAAAATGCTGTTGATGTCCATTTCGGCGATCGACCAGTTGTCAAGGCATTTGCCACTGCGACGTGTCTTCATTTGACCGAACCAGTTGAAGTCGCACGGTTGGAGCTCGGCAGAATACGGCGGTTGAAACCAGGTTTCAGCCACCTTTTCTTCAAAAAACTGCTGCACTATTCGAGATGGGTGGGGCTTGGCCATGAGCGATAACTGCCCTTTTGAAGTTGTGTACTGCCATCCAATTGTCGGTATTATCGTCGAGAAACTGGCAATACTCTTCAGAAGTGACGGTCATTTTTTTAGGACAGAGTCGCCAGAACGCCACGCCCCAGAAATCCATTGCCATAATGAGCATCCACTTGGAACCACGTGACTCTTTATGAACCAATTCAGGCGGTTCCTCATCGGCGTCCATCCAAACCCGACGCTTGTGACTTTCGGGCTCAGTGTACAAACCCACCCATGTTTCATCTATAGCCAACGTTCGTTTCA